TTCCATTTCTCCCCAGGCTCCTTGTGCGGTAGAAGTCCGGTCGCTATAAACACCAACGCACGCAGATCTATACCTATAACAAAAGATAAACAATCTATCTGGGAACATCTCTCTCTTTGTGCGTGTATGCATGCAGAGCTATACGTGCAGGTGGGAGTTTCTGAAAACATGGGACCATAAAACAGTACCCTAAGTACAAGTAGCAGGATCCTTGTTCTAATGACCCCACGATAAGGTACGCCGTGTTTTCGGAAACTCCCATACCGGACGAGGTTAAGGTGCCAGCTCAATCACGAAGGCTCTGGGGATTAGAGAGAATTCTGACTCGCAGGGCTTCGCTGGATGTGCGAGGCTGCCGGTGGAAATTATGCCGGGATCCTGCCAGGGTCAAGTGAGTGGCCGCTGCCTTCGGAGAGCAAGAGTAGTCCAAGTGACATGTGACGATCGAACGATGAACTGATCGCTTGAAAGGAAAGTCTACTTCCAGGCCCCGGCGCTTTTGGAAGTTACTGTAGCGTAGCCCTAAGCTAATCCTGCGTGCAACTGCCCTAAACCAGAGTTGTACTTGCATTTGCATAAGGGGACCCAGGATATTTGCACTGTCGCTATTAATCAATGAAACCCCTCCACAGTTTCTCGTGAATGCTGACTGTTGATGGTACGGTATTCACCGATTGCATGCATGTTGCCGAGCAGGCTCTGCTTCAGAGGCCGTCTGCAAACTAGAAACCCTCCATGAGTAGAACATATCTGACAGCTCACCAAACTCTCAACTCCAATACGCTGAACAAAATTCACCGCATTCGGGTTCAATTTCGACTTACGGTTTGGAGCTTACGGAGTTGTGGAGCCGCAAAACCCAACCACTGAAAACGACCCAGGCTCTTCGACCCCCTCTATTGCCCCAATCGAGCCCTTAAAGAGAACTGCTATAGTATCCGAACCCAATTTAAATATCAAAAGCGAGAGCTGTCTTGGCCAGTGCCTTGCGATAAAATCTTCCCGAAACTTCTCATTTTCGCGCATACAAGTTCTCATTCTCACATATACAAGCTGTTGTACCAAGCAAACTATACGAACACACGGTTGCAATCAATAAAGCATGATTGAGGGGTGTGCATGTGTACATACACATACACACACATAATATATATATATATATATATATATATACATGTACATAGACACGCTCGTATGCACGTGCCGATATGTGTATGCACATGCAGGCGTGTAAATGCATATGTGTAATTAGTATAACATATATACATATATATATATACATATACATATATGTTTGTATATACTCCATATATATATATATATATATATATATATATATATATATATATATATATATACATATATGTATGTATATATGTACATATATATATATATATATATATGCATATATATATATATATACGTGTTAGGTCTGAAGCTAAACTAAAGCCTGCACAGCAGATGTTCTCCAGCTGCACCACCCCGAAGCTGTCAATCCGTCCATGCACCTCTGGCCATCACGATCTCCATCAGGAAAAACAGGAATGTAGGCATCATATGCACGGCCACGAGCATCAGGACCAAAAAGCCCACTTGAATGCATGGTCTCACCTGTTTCTGCGAGGCTCAGCAGCAAACAGTATTCGTGCCGAAAACATGCGATGATGGAAAATCTCTCTCTCTCTCTCTCTCTCTCTCTCTCTCTCTCTTTATTTATATGTCTATATTGTTATATGTATATATATATATAGGAGAGAGAGAGAGAGAGAGAGAGAGAGAAAGAGAGAGACACCTAATAATTACTCTCCATATTATGACTCTGCTATGTGTCCGACCTCCCTGGCACCGCATGCCGCATGACCCTAAGCAGGCCAGAGCTGAATTTGCCTACCGAATTCTGCCTACACCCCAAACTGTACCTCGAAACCCTCCTCAAACGGCTTACACTGGGGCTATGCTTGTGCCTCAAGCCTGAAACCGAAACCCTAAACTCCAATTCAAATGAATTAAGACGTGAAATGACGTGAACCAAGCACCATACCCACAGGCCTTCTTGCATGTTCGGATTGGCACGTGGTGGATGTCAGCGTGGCCGTGGTTTGCTTCCGGCAGTGGTAAATCGTCCGCACGTGTCCCGAGATCAGCAGCATCACTTTCCTGCAGCAGGCGTACTATCTCGATGTAGCCCCGCTGAGCGGCAATCGTCAGAGCGGTGTCACCATGTCCATATTCATCCCTCACATTCTTGTCGGCACGGGCCTCCAAAAGTATTTGGACAATCTCGACATGGTCCTTGTACGAGGCGACATTGAGAGCGGTCAAGCCCCAAAAACTCATCGCATTTCTGTCTGCACGGGCGTTCAGCAGCAAACGCACAATATCAGCATACCCCTGCTCGGATGCTTCAATAAGTGCGGCAGTACCACCCGGTCTTCGAAAATCTCTCTCAGCCCCTGCTTCCAGCAACACACGAACGACGTCAGCTTGGCCTTCGTACGTGGCCACCACCATCGCGGTATCTCCATTCATATCCTGCAAGTTCATGTCCGCGGCCGCTGTCAACAACAAACTTACCACGCCGCCGTGGCCTCGACCAGAGGCATGCACAAGGGCTGTCTGTCCATTGATGTCAGCCACGTCCTTGTCTGCCCCTGCTTCCAGGAGCAATGTCACAATCTCAGCATGCCCCTTCTCAGCCGCAATAGTCAGGGCCGTCTTGCCAAAGGCGTCTTCAGCATCTTTGTCGACAGAAGCACGCAGTAGAGCCCGGACTACGTCAACATGACCTTCCGGCGCTGCAAACTCCAGTAGCTCATGCACTGAGTCGGCTTCCTGCGTGTCGCTGCAGACAAGCCTCGGCTGAAAGTGAATGTCTGTCTGGGTCTGGACATCGCAATGCTCTTGTCGACATGGCCCATCCGGAAATGTTGATTTTTTGGCCGCCGTCACAGCATCAGCATCATTTTCCTGCAGCAGGCGTACGATCTCGACGTAGCCGCGCTCAGCAGCAATCGTCAGAGCGGTGTCACCATGTCCATATTCATCCCTCACGTTCTTGTCAGCACAGGCCTCTAAAAGTATTTGGACAATCTCGACATGGCCGTTGTACGATGCGACATGGAGCGCAGTCAAACCCCGGAAGTTTACTATGTTTTTGTCAGCACCCGCATTCAACAGCAAGCGCAAAATCTCAGCATACCCGTGCTCGGATGCCTCAACAAGGGCTGCGGCGCCAGCCCAGCGTCGTCTTCGCACGTTCACATGAGCCCCGGCGTCCAGCAGCAAACGAACGGTGTTGGCTTGGCCTTCGTACGTAGCGACAACAATGGCGGTATCTCCGTTCATATCCTGCAAGTTCATGTCAGCAGCTGCTGCCAACAACAAACTTACGACGCTGGCATGACCTCGACCAGAGGCATGCACAAGGGCTGTCTGATCGTTGATGTCAGTGACGTCTGTGCCCGCCCGTGCATTCAAGAGCAACGTCGCAATCTCAGCATGACCCTTCTCAGCTGCAATAGTCAGGGCAGTCTTGCCAAAGGCGTCTTGCGCATCTTTGTCGACAGATGCACACAGAAGAGCCCGGACTACGTCAACATGACCTTCCGGCGCTGCAAAATCGAGTAGCTCATGCACAGCATCTGTTCCCTGCGTGTCGCTGCAGATGGGCAGCAGCACGAGCTGCACATCACCGGGCGCCACGAACCTCTCATGATTTTCCAGCTGCTCGTCTTCCTTCAGCAGCCTTAGGTGCCAAGGTTAATAGCACGACAGACCCTTTGGCGTTCGTGTCAAACGCAAGTGAAACGTCAACACCGCCGCAACTACCCCACTTCTGGCTATGCATGAAGGAGTTGGGCTTACATGGGCTATGCATGAGGGAGTTGGGTTTGCATGCAGAAAGCAATATAGTGTGGAATAACAGCGACATTCTCAAATCGGACTAGGGTTTAGGGTTAGTATCCTGTAGAAGCATTGGATCATTTCATGCAAGAGTTTATAGCTAGTGCACGAAAGCACCAAATCGCACACACCTTTTGTCTTGAGCCAAGCAACAGTAAAGGTCGGTAGACATACGTACAAAGAGCAATAAAACACCCCCCGCGCCTCTTAGGGCAGCGAAGAGAGGCGAAAGTAGAAGTACAGTATGCTACCAACAGGTTGCGAATGCAAAAGCAGGCTGATTTTACACCTTAGGTGCAATGAAGCTCTTAGAAAGATCTCAACACTCCTGACGTGCCATGTCCCATCAGTTCCGGCCCTTTACTTAGGCCGTCCCGTCAGGGAGGCAGAACAATGGACATGGAGCAGATAAACTACTCTTACATGTCCGACCCGTCAGGATGGAGAATACAGCACAACGAACCGAAAATGTTAATTAGCTGCTACTGTACTGCACAAGACGCGGCAGTCAGTACAGGCGGATCCCGTTTTGGGTCTCTTTCCAGCCAGAGAGGAAGTAGCCCACATGCTCCGGTGCCAGGAGGTGGAAGTCGTTCAAATCGTGAAAAGCTGGTACTGCACGATCTTCCATTCCTCTGGGAACGTTCTTGTCCCGAGACGCGCCCAAAGCAGCGCATCATGCCGGGTAAAGTAAGGTCGGCGAGGCTGCGATGGGTCAATAGGGTTCCCCCTTGAATCGACAACCAAGGTCGTTGGTGGAGGCCCTTTTGGCTCGGGCGGACGCATGGGTGCATCCGTTGACGATCCTGGCACATCCCTTCCGGGTGGCGGATAGCTGGGCTCTGTTGGCCGCAGACGGGTAGCTGCCACTCCCGGAGAAGGATCACGAGGGCGCGCTCTTGGCTTCGGAGGAACTGAGCCAGCTCGCTGTGCACTGCCAGTTGCTCGAGTGGTTGGCCTAGCCTTAGGAATCGGTGGCTGAGCCGATCTGCCTCTGATCTCCGTCCTCCCTGCTCTAAAGGCATATCCGATCCTCTCATTGACGCCCTTGGCGCCGGGGAGCTGTCTTGCGAACTTCGTGTTGATGAGAAGCTCGTTCAGCTGTCTATCCCCAAGAGAGGCGAGCCCTTCCGGGACGCGGAGTTCCTGATTGGCAGGCAAAACCAGCTCAGGCACCTGTTCGCCGCGCTCAACTGCATATCGTACCTCGTCTTGGAAGAATCCCACATCCTAGCCAAGATCTGTACCACTGGACCGGTCGGCTTCAATACGCGACCGCTGAAGCCCAGGATGTCCATGACGTAGCCATTGCGATGGACGGCAAACGCCAACAAGGCGGCTTCATCAAGCTTGTAGAACCTGTCCACGAACGCCACAAAGCAGTGGTCCGTAAGTGTCAGGTCCTCACCTTCCGGTGGGAATGAGAAGCTCACCTTTGCTGCGCCGTCAAAGCCAGTGCGGTCATGGATCATCTGGCGTGACCTTGGCGGGTTGGCGATCCTCATTCGGGCGAAAATCATGAGTTGCTCAAGCCCCGTGATGGATATGCCAAATCTTGCATTGTTGTAGGCCGTGAACGGATCACGAGACTGACGCTCAACAACAGTGCGAGAACCCGCCTTCAAGGCCTTTCCGAGGTATTTAGCGGCCTGCTGACGAACAGCGGCTGGGCCAGAGCCAGCACTCCGATCCCTCTTGTTGCCCGTGGCCCGATTGGAGTTGACCTCCCCGCTCGGTTGCAATGCCCTGTAATCCAGGGGCTCACCCTTCCGGGCGGCAACTTGCTTGGCACGGGTGTTCTCCAAGGCCATGCTCACATCTGAGTGCGGTTCCAGTCGAGACTCACATCGATAGCAGCAGATTGTACCATCAACGTTGGATGTACCGCAGCTCGGGCAAGCGAAAGAAGGAATGCTGACATTCTCTTGGCGGCGCCAATCCGACTCATCGTTGCATTTCTGATGAGGTTGCTTCGGAGCCACGTGAACCACCATCTTGTACAATGACTCAGAGCCCTGCAAGGCATGCCCTTCCGGGATGCGAATGTCTAGACCACACATGCTTGTTGGGTAGAAATCAAGGTCGTAGACATCCTTGCATGCCTTAGCGGCGTCTTTCCAGGTGTCGAAATTGCGATACCCTAGGCCTGCCACGAGGTAGTTGAAGCAATAGCCGTTTGCATCGATCAGTTCCTGGTGACCCCGCTCGCCATAAATAGGCGTGTTGAGGCTCTTGTCTTTGCATGCCTGGGCCAAGCGCTTCCGCGCTGGTTCGTATGCTCGGTTCGCCCAGATCATCTCCTGAGTCGACCGGTCATATGCATACAGAATGGCCCGGTTGCTGATCCAATCCGGCGTCTGCAGCGCTCCAGCTTTTGTCTCGAAAAACCGACAGCCATCGCAAGCAGCGAGCTGTAAGTCTATCACAAATTCCAGCTGCGCGCCAGGGCGGACACCCTGATTGGAGGTGCGTTCCCACTGAGGCTCCATCGCGAACATGTTGAAGGGCCTCCCGCTGTTGCCCTTCGAGGTCATTTTCCCTCCCGGGATGAGGCCTGTGTTGACGATCTTGATGAAATTTCGCCAGTATGTGGCGTGGTACGCCAGCTTTGGCATCAGATCGAAGGCCGTTGCCCGATAAGGATATGGACCCGTGATCGGTAGATCAACATAGGACGGGATCCATTGGTCATCGAGGGCCCACTGTTTGACAGTGGTCTTCAGCGGGTCGCTGTCGAGGACGAGCAAGCAGGCGTTGTGTCCTTGGAATGCTCGGACACGGGTAAAGTGCCAGTTTGTTCCCCGGCCCAACCGTGTCTCCTCGTCCAAGGCTTCCGCCTGGAGTTCGAACCGTGCTTTGTCACAGTGATCGGACGTCAACAGGTCAATAATGGTCATCACCGTCAGGCGGGACCACTGTTTCCCAATGACCTTCAAGACATCACCAATCTCTGCTGACTGCTCTTCGTCGAACTCAACAGTGCGGAACCCCTTGTCCTTGGCATGCCCACGCAGGTGCCACGACAGCTTTTTGCCCAACGAAACACACTCCATCTCATTGAGGCGAAAGTATCCCATGCGACCCTTGACATCAGGTAGCTGATCCGGTGTAAGCCAGATGGGTCCACCACTTCCGCGGGGAGGCTCCACTTCGTCGTCTGCGCCGTAGTCCACAGCCATCGGACCAGAGTCCCAGACTTCCGTCGGGATGTCGGAAGTAGCAATCGTAGAGACTGCCTCACCATCCACAACAGATGTAGCTGTGACATTCGGCTCAACAAACTCGTATGGAGCAACACCCGTCTCCTGGGCGACCTCTTCAGCCTCCTTATCCGTCATCACCAGGTTCACCGACTCAATCATTTTCCGAACGATTTGTTCCATCTCCGAGCCGGGGTCAACCGCTTCCACGGTGAGGTGCTCGTCCTCCGGATTCGGGTTACGAGACACCATGTCCTCAACCGTGAGCTCCTCTGACTCTTTCGCCACTTCATTGACATAGTCAGTGGGCGGTACACCCTCAAGCTCGTCAAGCTTTTCCAAGCTGAGGATCGGCTGGTTCAAGACAATCTCCTCCTCTGGGAAACGTTGCACGGGCGGTGCCTCAGGTGGGAAAGTCACCATCTCAGCTTCCGCCGGAATGAGCAAGTCCGTGGTAGGAGGGATGTCGAGCTCTTCCAAGCCGAGTCCGAGGTGAAAGTGGTTGTGGAAGAGGATACCACGCGAATTGGCCTTAAGTTCCATCGCATGCTTCACAAGCCACCGCTCGAACATGATTGCAGAGCAAAGGTGAAAGAACCAGCGGGTGGTAACCTTCACGTTGTCGTGGGTAGCCTCCATGTGAAACCCATCGTAACGCTCTGTCGTAAGGATGTGGGCCTGGGGATCAACGATGCGGATCCCTCGCTCCTTCAACTCATCGGAATGGCGTGCCATCTCCAGGTCATAGACCTCCGGGAGACCATAGAATTCCCCATTGTGGGGGCCAGCCACCAACGTGACAGAGGACACTCCCTTCCGGGATGAGAGACGGACCAGGGCATCTTTTGCGTCCTCGACGGCCTTGCGTCCCTTGGTCTCCCAATTGGAAAGTGTGTCATGCAATGCATCATCAACACGAACCCACGCATTGCGCATGTGGAAGGAAAAGCCTTTGTAACCATACTCGCCATAGACGTCATTACCACCCCATTGAATGATAATGTCGACACCTTCCGGTGCGAGCGGTTCCTGGCCGTTCTTCCACTTCTGGACTCGGTTGAGCTCTTGTTCCACGTGCCACACGATGTCTCCAAGTCCTGAGTATGGTCCCCCTGGGGCGCGCCCTACGCGCTTCGCGCGCTTCGCGCGTTTCGCGCGCCTTCGCTCGCTTCGCGTGGCTTCGCGCGCTTCGCGCGGCCTCGCGCGCTTCGCGCCTCCGCGCGCCTCCGCGCGCCTTCGCGCGCTTCGCGCGCTTCGCGCGCCTCTGGCGCCTCTTCGCGCGCTTCGCGCGTCTTCGCGCGCTTTCGCGCCTCCGCGCGCCTCCGCGCGCCTTCGCGCGCTTCGCGCCTCTCGCGCGCCTCTGGCGCCTCTTCGCGCGCTTCGCGCTTCGCGTGGCTTCGCGCGCTTCGCGCGGCCTCGCGCGCCTTCCGCGCGCCTCCGCGCGCCTTCGCGCGCTTCGCGCGCTTCGCGCCTCTCGCGCGCCTCTGTGGCGCCTCTTCGCGCGCTTCGCGTGGCTTCGCGCGGCTTCGCGCGCTTCGCGCGCTTCGCGCCGCTTCGCGCCTCTCGCGCGCCTCTGGCGCCCCTCCGCGCCCGCTTCGCGCCTCTCGCGCGCCTCTGATGGCACCCCTCCGCAAGCCTTCCCGCGCTTCGCGCGGCTTCGCGCGCTTCGCGCGCTTCGCGCCGCTTCGCGCCTCTCGCGCGCCTCTGGCGCCCCTCCGCGCCCGCTTCGCGCCTCTCGCGCGCCTCTGATGGCACCCCTCCGCAAGCCTTCCCGCGCTTCGCGCGGCTTCGCGCGCTTCGCGCGCTTCGCGCCGCTTCGCGCCTCTCGCGGGCCTCTGGCGCCCCTCCGCGCCCGCTTCGCGCCTCTCGCGCGCCTCTGATGGCACCCCTCCCCGCGCCTTCGCGCGCTTCGCACGGCTTCGCGCGCTTCGTGCGCTCCGCGCGCCTCCCCGCGCCTCCGCGCACCTTCGCGGGCTTCGCGCGCTTCGCGCGCTTCGCGCCGCTCCGCGCGCCTCCGCGCTCCTTCGCGCGCTTTGCGCCGGTTCGCGCCTCTCGCGCGCCTCCGCGCACCTTCGCGCGCTTCGCGCGTTTCGCGCGCTTCGCGCTGCTTCGCGCGCTTCGCGCCGCTTCGCGCATCTCACGCGCCTCTCGCGCGCCTCCGCGCGGCTTCGCGCCGCTTCGCGCCCTTCGGTTGGCTTCGCGCGGCTCTTCACGCGGCTTTTTGCGCGCTTCGCGCCCTTCGCACGCCCCGCGCTTCGCGCGCTTCACACGCGCCCTTCGCGCGGGTTTCGCGCGGGACTTTGTGCGTGCATATATATATATATATATATATATGAGCCCACGTGCATGCATCCATGTGCGAAAAGTGTTGTGTCAACGAACGTATTCTTCATGTGAAGCTGCATACTCCGAACTTGGGACGTTTACCGAGGCTGGCCGGCTTGCAAGCACACGTTGGTCTGTAGTCGACTCGAAGTAGTTCCGAAATCCATATGGCGCCGTTGACCTCTAAAAAAATTTTGAACAACCTGAGAACCCTAGGAGGATCATGGGACTTATAAAGTATAAGGTTATAAGTACCTTAATTGGGGTTATAAGTAATTATAATTATCGTTACCTTAACCCAGCCTTGAGTGCTTGGCACCAGCTGCCCAAGCTGGCGAGCACCTCCTCCGACGCCGGGCAAGTTCCTCTGAGCTGAAGCGTGGAAAAGAAGAGCAAGAGCGCTTCATGCACCACGTAGGCCATGCACTGCCCTTTCTTAGCAGTAGAATCAGCTGCAGTTAGTTGGGCAGGTCTGCGCGATTGCAATGCCCAACCCGAGATGGACGAAGCAAATGGTAAATGTGGTAAGGTTACAATCGCTGCTGCTGATGTGTTTTCGACTGCGATTAGACCGTCATCGTTTCATGTTGACGCTTCTACCTTCACTTCACAATAAGCCAACCCCGACTCCACATGACACCTCCTCCACCAGAACCCATGAACCAAGACCCCAAAACCCTCTGAACAAGGAGCCAAGATCAAACATCCCCGTCACTGTCTTCCACGATGATCCGGAGAAATGACGTAATTATGCCAAGGACATGACACCTCCTCCAGCAGGAACCCATGAACCAAGACCCTGAACCCTGCAAAGAGTCCTGATGGGCGGCCTCTGTCGAGACCTCCATCGCCGCGACCTTTCGCAGTAGAACAGGGGGGCAAGATCAAACATCGGCGTTAATTACTGTCTTCCACGAAGACCCGACGCTGGGCAAGTTCCTCTGAGCTGGAGCGCGGAAAAGAAGAGCCGGAGCGCTTCATGCACGACGTAAGCCATGTGCTGCGCTTGGATGGGCTGCTCTTAGCAGTAGAATCAACTGCAGTGAGTTGGGCAGATCTGCGTGATTGCAACATGAGAAGTCACCGCTGTATGGCTGCCCAACCCGGGATGGACGAAGCAAATGGTAAATGTGGTAAGGTTACAAGCGCTGCTGCTGATGTGTTTTCGAGTGCGATTAGACCGTCATCGTTTCATGTTGACGCTTCTGCCTTCACAGTAAGCCAACCCCGACTCCACATGACACCTCCTCCAGCAGGAACCCATGAACCAAAACCCCAAAACCCTCTGAACAAGGAGCCAAGATCAAACATCCCCGTCACTGTCTTCCGGGATGATGCTGAGAAACGACAGAATTATGCCAAGGACATGACACCTCCTCCAACAGGAACCCATGAACCAAGACCCCTAAACCCTGCAAAGAGTCCTGAGAGGCGGCCTCTGCAGAGACCTCCCTCGCCGCGGCCTTTCACAGTACTGTTGTCCTGACTCCAACGTAAGCTAACAGGTAATTAACGTGCAGACCCGATGCAAACGAGGTCGACCCCCACCGCCTCGGAAGTGGCTTCTTCGCAGCTGCCTTCGCAGCCTCCAGCAGGCTTTCCTTCTTGACTTCGCGCAGAGCGCGCGTTTTGCTGCACAGCATGCATTTCGCGGCTCGCTTCACCATGACGAAGGCTGGCAGACCTACAACTAGGAGAATGCTTGTGCTTTGGCTGGCTGTAGCTTGGAGCTTTGTCTCTGCGTGTATGCTGATTCGTGTCGTGCGAGGTCCTGCTTGTGGCACAGATGGCACAGCATTTCCTCATCTGTGTTATACATTGATCTGCTAGTATGGTCAACATGAACTGAGCCCGTTGACTACGTAGCTGCCCTGCTGTGATAAAACGGCAGGCACGAGTTCGGCGATAGCGTCGACTCGACGGCGCAGCTCCGGCGGCAAGGTGACATGCGCTGCGTCCCGGCCCGACGCATGTCTGTGGTATGTAGACATGCCAGGTGAGTGATTACAGGCCCTACTACTACTACTACTACTACTACTACTACTACTACTACTACTACTACTACTACTACTACTACTACTACTATTTTCAATTGAACGCCGTGCGACCGGGCTCAGCACATTGCGGGCGATTGCCGCGGTGCACGCACTTGGTGTGAAACTGACTCGATTGACCCTATGACTGATATGCTCGAAGAGGCGAGCACCAGCTCCCTTGATGTCGTGCTACTTACCACTACTGCTACTGCTGCTACTACTACAACTACTGCTACTACTACTTGCGTGGGGATTTGATCTTGATGATGTTCCTTGTCGCTCACCCCACCGAGCTATGTTGGGTAATGATGTGGTTGCCCTCTACAGACTCGATCACTTTCTCTCTCTCCCACGTGTCAGCTTCACTCCCTGTGCAGACAGATCCAGAGCTCGCTTGTTTTGTTTTGCACCTTCGCGGCCAGCGATGGATCGTCGTTTTATTAAACGGATGAGGGGATTTCATACATACATAATAAATACATACATATGTAAATCACCACAGACACACATGCACATACACATGCGGCTTCGCGCGAAGCGAAGCGCATGCAGGCTGCTGGCGTGGCTTCGCACGTGCTTTGCGCGGCTCGCGCCGGCTTCGCGCGGCTTCACGAGAGCTGCTTCGCGTGACTTGGCGCATGCTTCGCGCGCATCTGGGTATGTTTCGTGCGGCTTCGCGCACCAGACGCCGGCTTTGCGCACCTGCGTGCGCGCACCTTCGCGCGGCTTCACGCAGCTTCGTGCGCGGGCTGCTTCGCGTGGCTTCGTGCGTGCACCTGCGCGCACTCTGCGTGCGCACACCTGCGCGCGCGGCTTCGCGCGGGCTGCTTCGCATGGCTTCGCGCGTGCCCCTGCGCGCGCTCGGTTTCGCGATGCTTTATAGCGGCTTCGCGCGCTTCGCGTGGCTTCGCGCGGCTTCGCGCAGGCTGCTTCGCGAGGCTTCGTGCGTGTGCGCGCGCCCGGCTTCGCGCCGCTTCGCGCTTCGCACGGCTTCGCGCCGCGCTTCGCGCGGCTTCGCGCGTGCTTCGCGCGCCCGCGCTTCGCGCGCGCTTCGCGCGGCTTCGCGCGCTTCGCGCGCCTCGCGCCGGCTTCGCGCGGCTTCGCGCGGCTTCGCGCGCCCGCGCTTCG